AATTGTATTAATACTAAACGATTTTTATTAACAAAGTTCTGTTCTCGTGTTTTCGAAAACAGAGATATTCAAAGTGATCAAATTGTTATACGTCATTCAGTTAATTTAATATGATGTTTATATATTATGTTTCCACTTTCAGAAATAAATATACAGGGTGTCCCGGGATTTTTCCGCCAAACTGCGAGAGCTTACTCTAGGGGCCAAAAGAAGAAACAAATGTCATACGAAGTCTGCGAATTAACGCTTTGTCACAGAGATATAATCAAAAATAGATAGTCAGTATTTTACTGAATTTCAGTATTTCAGTCATTCCTTTTCTTTGCACGAGCCTGTTTCATAATTGAAAATAAGTGTTGATAAACACAGATCTATCCGATATCCTTGTAACTACGCAAACCATACGATAAATATTATAATTTTACCTATAGGTCGCTCTGAAACAAAAGGGTTACTCGACCGTAGTGACTTCGTACGAAGATCTTGCGCAGCGTATTAAAAATGCAGTTGCATTGAAATGCAACAAGAATACTGAGACACTGCATAGAGCAATAAATTCAGTTTTTCATCGATGTCAAGCTTGTGTCCGAGCAGGAGGACATCATTTTGAAATGAGACTTTAAAAATAGTGAGCAACTATTTCTCACTATTCTATTTTGTATCTCCTTAACAAGTTAATTAAAGAGTTAATTCGCAAACTTCATGTAATATTTTTTCTCTTCTTTTGACCCCTAGATTAAGCTCTCGCAGTTTGGCGGGGAAAAAATCCGGGACACCCTGTATATTCGGTGCATCTCTATCTATTTTTCTTGCAGTATCTTCGCTTCTGCTGCACGCCTCGGATTGCATCCCATTAACGCTTCGATACAATGCCAATAACCTCACCGTGCATCGCGTTCGTGGCTTTCTCTATTTGTTTTACATATTCGTCTCACGTATGAGGGCCGCTTTTAACAGTTGTTGCAACCAGGGACACCACAGTCATTCGATTGTGCTGCTGGTAAAGTCCGGGCACTGTGTTCACGTCGCGTTCAATACGCGACGAATTTCGTATTCTGTGCAGAAAGTGTTAAAAGTTCTGGCAGTGGAGGAGCTTGGTCACTGACAATCCCGTTCCGGCATTCCGAACAGATAGATAACGTTTAGCGGAATTTCCTTCGTGCATCCAGACACCGTATCCTTTATTACAGCGAATTTCGTAAAAGACTCGCATACGTTCGAGAATTTACACGTAGATAAACGAATAAACAAATATCTAAATTCAGGATAATTTAGACAAACTCATTCTACGAAGAAATATTTCACGAATTCGATTCACAAGCTACAATGAGGATTCTTCAGTCTTTCTTAGTGATGTCTGCTATATTTGCGAGTTTAGAAATAGATTTTGGCGGAAATGAAGCTTTGCAGCTGCAACCATTAATTCGTTGGTGTTAACTTTCGGTTGATTGACGCGGCGAGCGAAGGTAAAATTCGTTTAGTAAGGGTTTACAGTGAAAGACATAATTGAACCAGTAACGATGAAAAATAGTCGATGATTTAAATTGTAATTATAACTTCACGACAAAAAATTCTGTAACAATCTTGGTCTCAGTCTGGGTCTCTCAGTCAATTTTTCTCCCTTTTCAAAATCTCTATTTTTGTTCCTGAAATTGTTTCTCTCGGAGATAATCGCTGATATGTGAGAATACTTTTTCCTCGAAAATTGTAGAAATTCAAACCATTAAACATTTTTTTTCTTCCATGACTAGATCGGTTTATAGTTTTGTAGATTGAAATTTTCTTTTTACGACAATCCCTTAAAACTAGTATAATTTTTTACAGCCATCATTTTTATCATTACGAACGTTAGGCTTAAACGATAAAAATTCTAACCTTAATATTCAATTATATCAAATTATGAACGTTAGGATTAAACGATAAAAATTCTGACGTTTCGTTAATCTTGATGTTCAAAGTTTAATTCGAAGTGTTTAGAATTTTTTTCAAACATTCGTAGTAATGACAAGAAGAATCATAAAAGTCATTTTTTCGTGCATTGATACTTGCTAATACCTCTCGAAGAGGTCTAGATCTAACGTCGTGTATCGTAAAATATTTGCTTTCACCGAGGTGGTCAATTTGATCCTATATCAGTGAAAGCGGATGTCCTTAATCCGCTTCCTTCGTGGAGGCAAACAAATTATCGTACTGTCTATAGAAAAACCGAGTCTTTCATCTCCACATTTAACTTTATTACTTGGTTCAAGCTTTCGAAGAAAATTGTACAAAAAATGATGCAAAAAAATTGTATTATTTGATGAGGTCTTTATCACGTTATGGCACGATCGATCTTTGAGAAACTGCTCTCCGGCAAAAATAAAAATTTGTCGTGAAGGGAATCGCATTCAAAATTCTCTCGAGAGTGTAAACGATCGAAGTTACCTACGAAAGGTTAACTGTGATATCCAATCGTCGATTCACGGACGTACAATCGAAAATTGCCGGCTTGCTTCTTAACGAGCTTAACAGGCTTTGTTTGCTGCTGTAAAAACTAGTATGTTGGAACTCAATATCAACGAGATAACCAATCCTATTCTCGTGTACAAAGATCGATAATATACAAAGCGAATCTGGTAACTGAGTTGGTCTACAATTTTGTTTGTAGCGAAAGTAAAAGAAGATTGCAAAGCGCAAATTGGATTTGATTACGTAACTCTATGATATTTCTTCACGAGTTGATTTCCCGCGCCATTCTGAATAAAAGGATATTATGTAAAAAATTAATATCACTTCAAATTTTAATGAAATATTTGCGATACTTTAATTTCATTTTCATTTGCGACAAATTCGGTTCCTTTGAGATTTTTTTATTCTCAAAATGATGGGCAGTATAATGCAACTCGAAAAAAAATGCCATTTCTTTAGTGATATTTTAAAAACATATTTTGCAACAAGTAGGCTACACGCATAGTTTAAAATAATAGATATTAAATAATAATAATAGATTATTATTAGTATTAGTTAGATATTAAATAATAATAATAAGTGTTAGTAGATATTAAATAATAATAATCGAATAGATGTTAATAGATATTAAATAAAAATAATAAATATTAAATAATAATAATAGATGTTAATAGATATTAAATAACAATAATAGAATAGATATTAATAGATATTAAATAAAAATAATAGATATTAAACAATAATAATAGATTACTATTAGTATTAGTTAGATATTAAATAATAATAATAGATTACTATTAGTATTAGTTAGATATTAAATAATAATAATAGATTATTATTAGTATTAGTTAGATATTAAATAATAATAATAGATTATTATTAGTAATACTTCATCCAGCTCTGATTGTATTTTCTTTTGTTAACAATTCTATGTGATTCTGTAATAGTGAGAACAATTAACTGTTGCAATATGCTTATGAAGAAGAAATGCATTTTTTGTTTACAATTTAAAAATTAGAGTGATATTGCGTATATGACTTATTAAAGAGCTTTTTCAGAATTCAAACGAAACCGCGTCCTTAAACGAACTTTCACTGTACTTTCTTGAAATTATACATTTCTTTGTCATTTAATATCCAATACTAAAACTATCGACGAACAAAGTCATTTGATAGTAACGTTTCAACACGTTATGTTCTGCAAGGAATAGCAATACTACGTAAACCCATTAACGAAGAAGTACGAGCAAGAGCTGTAACTTGTTCTTCATTACACTGATGAACACGAGGTCAACCTGCTCTCCAATATCTTGATGATGGAAAATGATGAGCTCGAAACTGATTGTCTAACTGTTAAAAATCGTCTACCCCTTTCCTGAATCTATCGATATTCCATCATTTCTTACAGTATCGCAGTATTTAGCAACAGGGGGTTCCAAAACGCTTCGAAGCTTACAACTCTTGGAAGTTTTAACAAGTTTCGCTGAATCTTAAAACTTCAAACTTTCGGAACACTTGATTTCGTCTTCATTTTTCTATTTGCTGTAAGATGAAGAGACATCTTTGAAAGAAGTGAATCCAGGACTACGAAAGTAAAGACGAATTTTTAAATATTATTAACTTCCTAAAAATTGAAAGTTTAGTATCCGAATATAATATTTATGGAGGTAACTGAGACATTGAATGTCTTTATGCTATTCCACTGAACTTCTTTCATCATTGCATCATTGTACAACTTATATGAAAACAACATATTTTCGCTAGTAAACGATGATCACAAACTGTATGAATAATTTTAATTTAATTTAATGGGAAATCCCCTTTTACATAAAAATAAAGAAGAAGGGGAAAAATACAAGAATAACATTATGGATAATGTAAGTATAGAAAGATGATACATATGTACATATATGCTACAGCTCAGAACCGGCGTTGCCTCCACTTTTCTGATCGCTAGCGCTACCCCCTCCACTGCATCTATCTCTTCACACATCGATCTCTCCACTACATCTCTTCCCCCACTCTCTCAGTCTGTTGATTTCCCTACTAAGCAAGTGGGGGAGATCGATGCAGTGGAGGGGGTAGCGCTAACGATCAGGTAAGTAGAGGCGAGCAGCCAGTTAGTTGGCTCTGCTATAAACACCATAAGATAAGTGAGATGGAAACAAGTATAAGAATTAAAATGGAATAACACAGCAGCTGCAGAAATAAGTGAAAAAGACGAGGAAAGAAATTCGGTGACGCAAGAGATGGATTAAAAGAACAGAGACGATGATGGGGTAGTGACTGAATGACTTAGGTGTCTAAGAGATTGGTTTTGTACGTCTCTCTTTTAAAGCGGAGGAAGAAATTGACTTTGTTGCACAAACTATTGTTACACATGGTCAAACTTGAGTAAGAGTAAAACATGAGATAGAAGAGGGAAGGAAATCTGAAAGAGTAGGATGGAACGTGGAAATTGATTAGATTGAGGAGCCGAGGGACACTTGATGAATTTGTCAATAATTTTGAATAAAATGAAGCGTTTGCAAATGAAATAATTGTTTGTTGCAGGTATATGGCCATCATGAGACCACTTCAGCATCACATGTCTCGTAGAAGGACGGTGATAATTGTTCTTCTAATATGGGTTATCTCTTCAACATTAGCAGTACCGTGTTTATTGTATTCAACAACCGAGTCAAGAAGGTAGTATGCGTAAATTATTTATAAATGATCATTTAGACAACTAATTGTTGATAGTTAGTAAAAGTGAAAGTAATTAAGAAATAAATTAACGCAGTTAACGTATTGAGGTCTTTCAAACGATGTATGTATAAATATATGGCTATTTGCAAATTAAGAAAAAAAAAAAAAAATTTTTTAAATACGAGGTATTAGGTACAAATGAAATATATTGAAAATCACTAGAGACAAGAGAATATGTAGACTCTTACGCATTTGATCACGAAAATGCGAATACATGTACCCTTTTAAGTGCAAAACGTCTATTCTTTTCTATTGCATCTTGCAGCGAATGAAAAAATTTCCTTTCAATACATTTAAATGACAAGCTTTAGATGACTTAGAAAACCAATAATGTAATGTATGTAAACCTATTGCGATGTCGACGGTGATATATTTTCTGACACGAATAAATTATGTTTACCAATAAACTGTTTGCTTCCTATCTCACTGAAGAGATCATTAGTGTATCGCAAGCGTTTCACGATAGCTTGCAATTATTATACGAAACTCGAATCCAACTAATTTATACTAATGGCGCTGCTGATCAATGCAATGGGGAAGCGATACAGTTGCACAAAGAACGGCTTTCAATTCGCAATTATTCGTCGTACGCTAAATTAGTTGAAAAATTCGAAGATACCCGGTAGCGTTGAGAACAAAAAGCAACAGAGACCAAAAATTGTTACGAATGGAATAGAAATCAGTCGCTCATTGATAAACATCATTTTATGTTGTGTCAGAGAGTTTGCTGTCGATATCGACAGTTTACATCACAGTAAATTTATTCATCGCGACAATTTACATTATTGGTTTTCTGGATCACCTGAAAGTTATCATTTAAGTACATTCGAATATATTTTCTTCAATCTACAGTTGCTGCAAAATGTAATAGAAAAAGAAAGAAGCGAGTCAGAACGAAAGAACTTTCTGTTCGAAGAGATTCCTACTTCCGATATGATTTAAATCGTGCCACGAAGCTTTTTCACAAAACATAAAAGACAAAAGAGATATTTAGGTAGACTCGTTCTGGCTGAGACACCCTGTAGATTGAATCAATACAAGCATTCACACGACAGGCAACTTTCTAGCAGATCAGAAACCATGATGTGCTTTGATCGTTGAGTTTGTTCATCGAACTTAGTCTTCGAGTATTTTTGTCTCTTGTCGATCAGTCAATGATTACTAGATTTAAGAGAATATGTGGAATTTTACGCACTTGGTAACCGACGAGTCGCCAACGCGAACGATTGGTCACTGTGATAATTTTTTTTTTTATTACGCTATAAAATCTACTACTGGGTTGTATAATATTATATTATTATAATATTATAATAATAATAATATTATATTATTATAATATTATTATAATAATAATATTATATTATTATAATATTTTTATAGTATGATTATTATTATATTATTATTATTATAATAATATTATATAATGTATTATATTATACAATTATATTATTATATAATATATAAAATTACGCTATAAAATCCGCTACTGGGTTATATAATATTATATTATTATAAATATTATTATTATTATAATAGTATTATATTATATTAATTATAATAATAATAATATTATATTATTTTAATATTATAATAATATTATATTAATAATAATTATAATAATATAATATTATATATTATTACAATATTATATTATTATATTAATATTATTATTATTATATTATTGTATTATATAATTATTATATAATATATAATATTATTATATTATTATTATACATTTCTGTGCATACTAGCAGTACAGAGAGAAATTCACATGTTTTGTCTTAAAGATTACACGGATATACAACTATGATACATATTTTATGTTTACATACTTATAATTAGAACTTAAGGATATTTTTAAATTGTTAGTAGTCATTGCTAAGTACTCTATAAAAATTAATTATAGATGCCAACTGTGATTTTCAAGAAATTTGTGAATACACAACAAGGGAGTAATGTATGGTTTGCTAAAAAAAAAAAAGTCCATGTATGAGGCAAAAAATAACCCATTCTGCACAGTTTATTTATTAAGACATTCCTGTCGGGCACTGCCAAATTATATGGTCGAGATCCTGCACTAGGCATTTACACTGACATTTTGTATCAAATTGAAGAGAGAAGCAGCTAATTGCACGTTAATTAATATCGTTTTGGTATCAGATATCATATTACCACTCGGAAATGAATGAAATTAAAAAGAAAAACGTCTATCTGCGTTATAATACGTATGTATACCGATACATACAATATCGCACATGTGTCAAAATAAATCTAAATTAAACACAGCATCGTCAAACTAACATAAATTTTATATTTTGCAATGGCTCTTCGATTCAGGAATTAAATTAAAATTAAATTAAAATCTTGTTTAGGTTGCATCGTTATTGAATAAGAATACGACTTAAACGTTTCTAAAGAGAATTTCTTCTTTTCTGCGTTCTCTCATCCTTATAAATTAACAAACGACTAGTGAAATATTTTAATGCAATCTAAATAATACACTGGCGTACTTATGAATAAACAATGGCAAGTAATTTGTGTACGTTGACGGAAGTCGCGTGACACAGTCCTTTATTTTCATTATATAATACAAAGGAATGAGATTCGTCACTTGATTCGCTCAAATTAAAACGCCTGCGGGTTGAACAGATGTTTTATATGATCATGTTTCACGCAACACAGTTTACAATTGTTTTTTCATAAACAAAAAAACTTCTCGTAGCGTTTGCGAGCACTGCGTAATTTACTTCGGGGCGAAATCGCTTTATGTATCACCGAGAGATTGGAGTTTCGAGAGTTTATGGCTCGCTTACCATCGTGCGAAACATACTACGTAGTGCTCCGAACGTGATTTCTCTAGAGCTACGCTTTTCTCTTTCACCCCTTGCGCTTTGCAGCTGGCTCGCGCGCGGACCGTAACGAGTGACCGAACCGTGTACAATAATTTCGCTTTCTTTTTCTTTTGAACTCGGATAGAAATGATTAAGAAGCAGTAAACTTATCATTTGTTTTGCCTGGGTTACATCTAAATACGCTTGAAATAGAGAGAATGTGGCAATTTGGGACAAAAAAGTGCGTGGCAGCAAGAGTTTAAGGAGGCAGGACAGTTTGACGGGCCTAAAAGGCATATATTTGATTGACATGAGCTTTCGTGGTTTGTTTTAATAACATTATGAACTATAAAAAGCAACATTAGAGAAGAAAAAAAGAGGGCTCTTATTTAATTTTGTAATACATGACTTTTTTTTACATTGCCTATCGGTGTGCATGATTCCAGCCAAACAGGATTAGTTGCAACAAAAAGGCAGAAAAAGGTTCAAAGGTAAACAATATTCTCTAGGGATTGACGATCCAACATTTTCATTTCTGTGAAAATTATGAGAACAGCAGCTATTTGTTTTCGATGTATCGAATTTCTACGTTCTTTGTTTATATTCTTCGAAATTGTTAAAAATTAAAAAACGTTCGATCGTCAATCCCTAGTAAATGTTACACTAAAGATACGCATCAAGTTTTCACAGTAATCAGTTGGTTAGATTCCGAGATATCTTGTACACCGTTTCTAAAAACCTAGTTTCGAGAAAAACGCGTTTAAAATTTCAGAACGTCATTTTTCATACGTATCCTTTACTTACTTTTTTTATTTATATATCTCACAATTCACAACTAAATTGAATCCAAGTCCCCTAATATTCGATTCATCAAAAATAATATTTGAATCACACGATTTACACTTTATGTGTAATTACACTTATATTGTTTAATGTTGTAAACAGTGATGCAAATTCAATTATTTTGTATCCGCGGATTTATTATTCTACTCCAAAATAAGTGATTTTAAAGTATACTTTTGCATCTCATTTCCAAGACTTCAAACTATGTATCCGCGGATTTATTATTCTACTCCAAAATAAGTGATTTTAAAGTAAACTTTTGTATCTCATTTCCAAGACTTCAAACTGCTATTTAAAACAAAACAAAACAAAACAAAATCGATTTTTTGAAAATTTTAAACTGTCCTGACCACTTAATATCCAGATAAGAAATGAAAGAGGAAACACCGGACGCGGTCGACAATTTTTCATCTTCGATGGCGCAGTTTAAGTGCTCTCCGCTGTGTACGAGAAACACATCTTACGGTGAATTGGTGTTAAGAACTTCAGACGATAATATCTGGAAAATTAATACACAGCGTTTCCCTCGTAACCGCAGAAATGTTTCCTCCCCCTTGGCGGTTTTCACGCGCTGCAACGAGGAGAACTAACACAGCAGTCGTACCTCTTTAATTCATCCAAGCTATGTTACTTACTCTTGCCTCCAATATACTAAAGAAGTCAACAAGCCGAAAGGCAGTAACAACGTGCAGTACTTTGAACATTTAGCTCTCTCCTTAGCAGCATGCTTGCGACAATGTAATCATTCCTCCCAAAGAGAGAAGACAAGATCCAGCTGGTTTTCATTTACGAAAGTAAATGTTCAGTTTCGACATTTATTCAGCTTCAATCGCGATCAACATCAATTCATCTCCTTTTTGTTACTTATGATTCTATTGCTTTTACGTTTCGTTGAATTTAATCAAGAAGCCTCAAGAAGACACTGGTACGTATTGGAATCAAGAGACCTGTCAAAGTGAGAAGAACAATCGATGAATACAATCAGTTATTGTTACAGTGAATTTAATTTTTTTTCTAGTGAAGAGCACAGTTGAACCAATAACGATGAAAAATTGTTGATATCTTGAACTAATATAACTGTGCGCCTCTTAAGATTAGTATTAAGATTTAGATAATTATATAATACTAATGATATAATAAGATTATTATATTAATTATTAATTCTTAATAATTTTAATAATAAAATTTAATTTTAATTGGTATTATTAATAATATAATAATTAAAATTTGAATAATTACATAATAATAATAATATAATAATATTATTATTAATAATTTTAATAATACAGTAATAATTAAATAATTATATAATAATAATATAATAATACTATTATTAATAATTTTAATAATATAATAATAATTAAAATTTGGATAATTATATAATAATAATAATATAATAATATTATTAATTGTTAATTACTAATAATTTTAATAATATGACAATAATTAAAATTTGGATAATTATATAATAATAGTAATATTATTAATTATTAATAATTTTAATAATATAATAATTAAAATTTGGATAATTACATAATAATAATTTGGATAATTATACAATAATAGTAATATCATTAATTATTAATAATTTTAATAATATAATAATAATTAAAATTTGGATAATTACATAATAATAATTTGGATAATTATATAATAATAGTAATATTATTAATTATTAATAATTTTAATAATATAATAATAATTAAAATTTGGATAATTACATAATAATAATTTGGATAATTATATTTCTGAAGAAATATTTACTGATTAATTACCGATTAATTATTGAATACAAATTTATTGATTAATTGCAGGTATTCGAACGGAAAAACTAGGATTTCATGTTACCTGGTATGGCCGGATGGAAGCTATCTGCACAGCAGAATCGAATATTTGTAAGTACAACAGTTCTGTAATAAATTTATCGTAATTTTATCTCTAATAACTGTAATTTCCTACAAGAAATTATATTTCCAAGAGTAATTTGATATACATGTAGTTTACACAGAATCGCTCTGCAGAATTAAAGTTTTTGTTAATAAACGTCAACTATTCACGACCACTAACGACTAGTAAATCAGCGCTTGCAAGAGCTTACAACAAACATCTGTCATCGAACACTCTGTGAAAATTAAATTCATTGATAATTAAATTCATTGAATGCCTTGAACTACACGTGTATTCATCGGCATTGCAGAACTTCATCGCGATACAGCCTCGTCGTACAATTATCTCGACTGAATTCCCAACCCTTTCAGTGCTGACGAAAAGTACCAATTCGGAATAATCAATTTTCTGACCTATATTGTACATAGTAAATATCACCTAAAAAAAGAAAGAAAAACGAGGAATTTATAAGTTTTTGTTCAATTTACGATAAAAAGCTGAAAACATACGAGAGATAAGGAACAGTATATTTTTAACAGAGCAACTGGAAATATATTTGAAATTTACTATGTACAAAAAGGACGAAGAATTGCTATCATTGTGGATAAGAAAAAATTTAATATGGATAGTTGATACGATGATTAAGAGAAGGACATTTATCTTCAGCTCATCGCTTAAACAGCAAAGTAAGTTGAAAATTGTCGCAGAGAGACGAAAATAAACTGAATAACAAGCTGAGAAGTATAACGAACGGTAGCAGTACTTCTTCCTTGATTGGCCAACAAGTAATTAAACTTGTTGGTCTGAACGTAACTGAAAGATTTAGGCAGACAATTAAGGAATGAAGTCGAATCTCGCAAAAACTAGTAAAAGAAATTGGATAAATCACTGCTGAAAGAAATAATATAATTATAAATTAATTATACATAATTATAAACAATAGAAAAATATGTTGAAAACAAAAGATAGATTATTTTTTAATAATTATTATCTGTTTAATAGTAATTTATTATAACTATCTACACATGATATATAATTTATAATTATCTATAGTCTATCTATTATTACTCAATGATTATTATTTACTGTTGTTTGATAATGATCTATCTTCTTTTCTTAACACATTTTTTGTAATCCTTTACAATTATTTAAAATTATTTTCTTTTGTCTTTAATAATACGTATGTGACAGCTTATGTTCCTTTATACATAGAATACGGAAATGAAAAAAATATTAGATATGATGTAATATTTAAAATTTATTGAAAGTATTATAAATAAATAATATAAATTTATTGAAAATCTAAATAAATAATATAAGTTTATTGAAAATATTATAAATAAATAAAATAAATTTATTAAAAATATTATAAATAAATAAAATAAATTTACTAAAAATATTATAAATAAGTAAAATAAATTTACTAAAAATATTATAAATAAATAAAATGAATTTATTAATAATATAAATAAATAAATAAAATTAATTTACTAAAAATATTATAAATAATTAACATAAATTTATTAAAAATATTATGAAATTTCCTTTCATAAATTACATTGACATTCTAAGAATCTGAAAATGGAATTGGTAGCGAATAAACGGCGCAAGCTTTTCATCTCAGGCCATTTTTATTAAACTGACTTCGATGTATGACAAATATTGAATATACATGTACGTTCATAAGATGATTCTCGTGAGATACAATATCATGATATTGATTTCGTATATCCCGAGAATCTCGACCACTAGCGATACTTTCTGCATGAAGCCAGCAGAAACATATTGCGTCGTTCACAGGGTAAGTGCAGTATCACTTAGTTGGATTCAAAATTCAACATGGAAAATATGTCCGATAACGATATATTTCTTGGGATCATGTTCTTCAAATTGGACACGAGAAACTCTCTTTTCTCCCCTTCTTTCTAATGTTTCTTCTTCATACTAAAATCGAGATAAAGAAATTTCAAAGTTATCTGTTTTTCAGAAATAAACCAAGAGTCTATATTTCAGACGAAAATTACATACTCTCATTACAAATATATTGACATTCTTAACTGTAACTCTTCAAGGACTGTAACTCTTCAAGAACAATTATTCGTCACAGTATTATGAAATACTCTTTAAAAATTTCGCGAAATTATAATATCTAGTGATGAAAGAATGCTACGTCGATAATTTTTTGTTCCAAAATTGTAATATTTTCTCAGTTTTAAGTATATTTAGTATATTTAATATTTAGTGTATTAAGTATATTAAGTATATTTAGTATATTAAGTATATTTAAACAAACAATAAATTAATCATTTCTATCCAGTGGATATCATACCTACGAGTTCGAAAAGAAAGCGATCAATTATGGTCACTCGTTACGGTCCGCAATCAATTGGCAGCGCAAGTGGTCAAGCGAATTTCTGCAATTTCTTTTCCCACCTTGCTGCTTCGATATTAAAAATTGCAATTTAAAGCGATTAAAAATGTTACGATCGAATATCTGATCTAGCCACGCAGGTATTTTTAAGCTTCGAACAATGTAACTTCGGAGCGTGGTACATTTAACATTATCGCATTACGATATTTCGCGCATTTCGCTCTACACTACTCGTTGTTTGTCGATTGAATTTATCAAGCCGACAATGAAGGAAATAGTTTCCCAGCGCAGTAATGCAAGAGTTGTAACCGATTCCTTCTAAATAAAAGGTATCAACGTCATTACAAGCATTTTCTATTCAACGATACTGCAACCAGAAGAAGCTTTGCGCTGACCAATTGCAAATGAAATTACAATCATTTTCATCGATCATTTTTGGTCATTTAAAGCAGCAAGAGCAACCATTCGCAAAATTATCTCCTAAATTATTCGTTTTAAAAAAGAAAAAGAATAGAAATGAGCCAAGTAAAACTTACTTTGTTCCAAAGGGGACATTTTATAGTGGTGGAGATTTCAAAGTGTTTTTTTTTTTTTTTTTTTTGAACAAAACTACTTCTAAACTATTTTTTTTTTTAATTAAATTTATAGCTCGAATTCCACGACGAATTTATCAATCTACATATGTTCAAGGTATTTCAAGATTATTCGAGGTCGTCTACTGTCTTTCAAAGATTACCTGCATGTCAAGAAATTGTTATCTCACCTTTTACATTTGAAAGGTGACCTCGAGTGTCAATACACGTTTGCTTCATCTCTGAAAGAAAGTTGTACCCTCTTCAATGTTTCAGAGAGTTTCACATATGATCGATCGATGAATTGGAACGAGTTGCATGTCCATCTGAAGAAAAATACATAGTCCCGCTTAAAAGAACCAGCGTAATACGAGGGTTACGCTTTCAAAATGTCATGGATAAAAGAAAAAAATTTTCGTAGAAAATTGCTGAAAATAATTGAACTTTGTTAAAATATGAGTTTACATAACAATTAAAAAATTCAAATTGAAGCTATTCAAACTGAAGTATTATAGTTAATATATATATATATTTGTATAAGTGAAGTCAAAACAATTTGTTGTAATTCTTTGTAACAACATGTATGTCTTTATATTTGCTTAAAATATAATGTTATATACATATATCTTCCTCCAATATTTTCTTTCGGTTTTCTATTGCTACGTCATTCTTTATTCAGACGAAAATTTATATATTTATTTATAATATATATTAATATTAATTAATTTATTATTAAATTTATTAATATTAATATTAAATATATATTAATATTATATATATTATATATATTAATATTAATATTAAATATATATAATATAAATATATATTAATTTTATAATATATATTTATAATTTATAATATTATAATTATATTAATATATATTTTTAAAAATTAATATGCTCGCCATTTCATCACTAGCAATAAACTTTATTCAACGTTGTTTGAAAAAGTATTCTATTGGTATGATAATTTTATTAATGAAATAAAACACTGAAACTGAATGTTTCGAAACACGATTTTTCCAAAAAAGGCCCTTTCTCGTTAATTGGTCAATTAGTAATTGAGTCATGTACAGTAATTAGTGAACAAATCGCGTTTTCTTCTTTTCTTTCTTTCAGACTTATGCAATAAAGCCCTCGTTAACCCCGTTTCATCCGCGTAATTTATTATAAATTAATCGCAGCTAACCAATTTGAATAAATAAGGATTATAAAATTACCGAAATCGTTTTGTCATCTTGATTGCTGAACAACTGGTTAATTGTTAAAACTGCGGGCTTTGATGCATTTGTTGGAAGGAAATTTTAAAACACGAAGTTGCACAAAATACACATAATATATATAAAAAATCCGATGTGCATGGCTTTTAATTTTTGGAAGAACTTTTTACTGAAGCTGTATTCCTTTCTATTCCCTCAATTATACTTTCAGGAGTACGAACTCGCGTGTGACGATTCAAAATACTATTGAAAGCAGACTGAAATGAATATTACATAAAGTTAAAATTGGGAAAATTGATCGAACGTCAGAAAAGCAAGAATACAACTGAACCAATTGGGCATTGGAAAAGAACTAATCGAACAGTTTTTTACTCGCTTGATCAAATTTCGGTGACATTGACGTGAGATATTGAAATATTGAAATTCGTTATCAATGTCGTGGGATTTTTCGGAGATTTGAATTTTATTTTTGTAACTGTATGTACTGTCACACGCTATTTTTTAATTGATTTTGAAGATACTAGACTCATATCACGGTTCCAATTATTGGTAGCAAAACATGCGAACAATTTCAAATACAAAGCATCTTGATTTTCATGGCGAAATTAAATAAAAAAGACAAAAATATAAAATCGAAAATACAGCTCTTTTTATCCAAAGAACAAACAGTTATTCATGTTTTCAGCAAATAGGTAAACATTGAAATGTTTGATAGCTCCAAATGATAAGCTTAAATCCTTAATTATAAAAATATAAATTAATTTATATTTATAAATTAATATAAATTAATTAATTAACTAAATATAAATACTATATCTCTATAATTGTATAATGTAAATGTATCATAAAATACATAAGCATCGTAAAATTATTTTAGTATTTTATATATTATTAATTTATATTTATAAACTAATAATATAATATAAATTAATATTAATTAATTAATTATCAAAATATAAATACTATATCTCTATAATATAAATGATAACGCCGTCAAATTATTTTAGTATTTTATATATAAATATTTTAGTATTTTACGTATTAGTATTTTATATGTTAGTATTTTAGTATTTTAGTATTTTATATGTTAGTATTTTAGTATTTTAGTATTATAATATTAGTATTATAATACTATTTAAAATATTAAATTAGTATTATATAAAATACTAAAATAATATAATATAAATTAATATAAATTAATTAATTATCAAAATATAAATACCATATCTAATCGTATAATATAAGCGATAGCATCGTATAATTATTTTACTATTTTTAATGAATTCTTTATTTTGTTACAGTTATAACATCGTATTTTTGAGCGTCACGTATTTAGTTCCTATGACGATAATGGCAATATGCTATACCTTAATGGGCCGGAAACTCTGGGGTTCAAAATCTATAGGAGAGCTAACGTATTACCAAAAGAAGTCAATAAAATCTAAACGAAAGGTAAGAACAGTAACAGATTATTTCTTTTATCTACTTACATCTTTTATCCTGTCTTATTTTAATCTGAATTTTATTTTTCAACTTTTATGTAACTATATGTCTTATATAGTACTCTTTTTTTAATGTTGTTAATGATCAACTAATTATCAGTGTTTATAGTGATTGATAATATAGTAACGAGTGTAATCAAAAAGATCTTTCACTGACAAGCAAAAAATAAATTTCTGTCACAGATAATAGTTACTAATAACCGAAAATAATTGTCATCCCTCATAATGATTATCTGTAGTCAGAACAATGAAAAATCAATATCTCTCAATCGTTTCGTTCTTTAAGAAACTGCTTGAGATTTATTGGTTATTGGCTTGAATAAAAATTCAATCCAGAAGTAGTCTGTTGTTGTATTATAGATACTGCGTGGAGATGTCCCTGGTGAGAATGAATAAGTCTTCATTTATTATTTTGTCGGAAATTGAAATGCAATCTTCGTCTCTGATATACGTCATGTTGGATCCTAGATAGTACTTATTGCTAGTCATGCTGTGCCGTCTGAATATTGAATATTTCCACGACGAAGTTGTTCGATTCGGAATAATATTCTAATACGATAATATTCCAAATAATATTCTAATACGATAATATTCTAAATAATATTCTAAGTAATGTTCTAGATAATATTCTGATACAATAATATTCTAAATGATATTCTGATACGATGATACTCTAAATAATATTCTAATACGATGATATTCTAAATAATATTCTAATACGATAATATTCTAAACAATATTCTGATACGATAATATTCTAAATAATATTCTAATACGATAATATTCTAAATAATATACGATATACGATACTATACGATAATAAACTATACGATAATATTCTAAATAATATTCTAATACGATAATATTCTAAACAACATTCTAATACGATAATATTCTAAACAACATTCTAATACAATAATATTCTAAATAATATTCTAATACGATAATATTCCAAATAATTTTCTAATACAATAATATTCTAAATAATATTTTAATACGATATAATATTCTAAACAATATTCTAATACGATAATATTCTAAACAATATTCCAATAAACAATTTCTCGCTCTCACGATCATTTTTCTCGAATTTTGGAGGTTGTCGACATATTTCTCGATGTGATTACATATACATATATTTTCTTACATACTAATATTTCCTTATTCTTTGCAAAAGATATTAAAGATATTAAGGTGATGTGAGAATGTTTTAATTTTAATTTTGTTCAAATTATCTATATAAAACGAAGAGAAGATAAACGCAGGTTATAGAAACGATGATAAAAGAATCAGTTATCGCCCAACTCTCGTCTGAATTTAATCGATCCGAGTTCGATCATTTAACTAAGGAGGATATATACTGACCATGAGATCTCTTTCACTGGTATAAAATGGAATAAGATAATAATGCTCGATACTAGTTTGAGATACAGAGATTCTAAAGCAAGTAACCTTTTTAAAATCAATTGAATTGAATGTCAAAGTGAACTGAGAAACATTTCCAAGAAATGGTGAAAATGATAAAGTCTAAGGACAGTTCGCAAGACAAAATTCTAAATATCAATTTGCACTGATGATAATCGACAATGACATTTATTTAATAGATATTTTTTACTAATCGAGTAGAGGAAACGTGAATATACTGCACACTCTTTTCCTTTATTAAATTTTCTAATTTCTTTCCTTTCTAGATTTTTATTGTCGCGCAAAATGTTAGAATTATTTATGATACAAGAATTTCAAATTTGGTCTAGTATTATAAAAATGATTTATTTGAAAGTAATATTAGATTTTATTTTAAATCAAATAATAATTATTTTAAATAAAATAATTTTATTTTAGTATTATAAATAATAATTTTATTTTAGGTTTGACACTATGCGGAAAATAATTCACATGAATAATATTATCAATATTCTATTGAATAGTTTTGTGTGTGTGTGTTTTATTCAATTCATTTTCAATTTTCACCAATGAGATTTATATTTGTTAATCAGGAAGATTAATGTTTATAACAGTTTGTTTTAGAGCACCAATATATATTTATTTAATAGATATTTATGCACACTTTATATTATGCGAACTTTATGTTTTAATAATGGGATCTGATTGCAATAAATTATTTTCTAAAATAGTTGGCCATTTAGCTTTGAAAATACAAAAGTCTGCACGTCTGACGATAAATTTGAAAAATTCACGAACGATCGATAAAATTATTTTTCTTGCAGGTGGTGAAGATGTTTATTATAATAGTTGTGATATTCGCCATTTGTTGGCTACCTTATCAAGGCTTTTTTATTTTCGTTTACCATCACAGCCATTTTGCGGAAACTAGCTACATTCAACACGTCTATTTAAGCTTTTATTGGCTCGCCATGTCAAATGCCATGGTAAATCCCATTATATACTACTGGATGAACAATAGGTGAGTTTAATACCACGACAAACATTTAATATTACTATATAGGATGTTTCTGAAAAAAATATTTTTTTTTCAAAATGAATACAAAATATCATGCAAGTATATTTAATCAAACCACTGTCAAATATCAAATTAGTATTTAATAGTAGCAACATTTATTATTTGGCATAATGTGAAAATCAGAAAACACATGTCACAAGAAGTGTCTTTCAATTATTTTTTCACTCAGTACACGTAATAATTATAATTCACACTAGAACTCTCACGTTCGAATCATAAATATGTTTTACTATTCTTCTTTTATTTTACTTCGTTTGTGATTTTATTTTATTTTTTTTTTTTCAGAGATATTCCACTTTTAGTATATTTAGTATTTCCTATGATATCATTTCTGAATTTTACGTACATATATTATTGATATTACGTGTTCCATAAAATAATAATGAGGAAGATTCCTATATATTATAAGAGTCCTATATATTATCATTACGTGTCCTATATATTATCATTACTATTATAAGATTCCTATATATTATCATTACTACTACTATTATAAGATTTCTATATATTATAATTACTATTATAAGATTCCTATATATTATCATTACTACTACTATTATAAGATTTCTATATATTATAATTACTATTATAAGATTCCTATATATTATCATTACTACTACTATTATAAGATTTCTATATATTATAATTACTATTATAAGATTCCTATATATTATCATTACTACTACTATTATAAGATTTCTATATATTATAATTACTATTATAAGATTCCTATATATTATCATTACGTGTTCCATAAAATAATTATGAGGAAGATTCCTCTACTGAACTATTCATGTCATTTTTGCAGCAAAATGCTACACGTATATGTGATAGAATTTCAAACTCATTTTTGTCGAAAACGGAATCTTAAATGAAAAAATATTTCTTTCTTCTTTTCGACTTGATACTGCACGTAGTATCATACACCATGATTCATGAATCGTACCATGATTGCTTTTTATTAATTATTCAACTGTTCAAAGTAATTCATCGATAAAGATTTTAATTTTAATTTTTAAAAATTACCAAATTCAAGATAGTTCGATTCTTTTTTTTTTTTTTTTTACAGGTTTCGTGTCTACTTTCAACTAATAATGTGCAAGCGTACAGACTGTGCCAATTCACCAACACAGGAATTTGTAAAGTTTCAACGATCAGACGTTATTCCTTACAATTCAGGTAAACAATTATTAAATTGTGTCTTGAATTACCTTATTTTTGGTTAGCATAGAGAATTCTTTAAATTTTTATTGTATTTTTTTTTGTTATTCATTTTTATCTAATTTTGACATTTAAAAACTTTGACTTTGAATTATTTAATTTTTGTGCCATCTGTTGTCAAATATCCTATGTAACAGAGGTTTTTCACTAAACAAATTTTCATTAAAAAAAAGACATCTTCAGAGCACTTCACTTTGATTTTATTGAACAGAAATTTGTAAGCTCAAAATGCATTTAACAATATTCGTTTTAAATAAATTTATTATTACAGAAAAGAAATTTATTATTACAGAATAGATATTAACGCGATAATTCAGCTAACTTATTACAGTTTTTCACATAAGCGATCTGAATGAGAATCGTTGATCAGTATTTGAATAATTCATAGTTAAAAAATACTTGATATTTGAGAAGACGTGCGAATCTTTTCAAAGATCTACTGAAGATTAATAACTTTTTTTTTTCTTAACGTATGCTTTGTAAATAGAATTTTTTAGAACACTATTTTAACATTAAAACTACTAAAAAAGTGATTTAAATGATCAATCAGGTGTTTCCTTTTTGTATTAAAAATCTTTTTTTATTTCATTCAGTTTAATTTCTCTGATACAAGTTAACTTTAATTAATATATTCCAGTATTAGAACACTTTTTTTAATAAAAAAAATAGTTAGTTTTATATTTATAATTTCTCGTTTCAAGTCAATTTCAGTATTGATTTAAACTTTAACTGTTATCCTATATAATGTAACACTGCTATATTACGAATTTTTATGCGTTTGTAAATTTTTATAAATATAACTAATTATTAAAAAATTTTCATAAACACAACTAATTATTAAAAAATTTTATTAATTAAAAAATTGTTATAGATACAACTTGTAATAAAAAATAAGGAAGTTGAACCTAAACAGAAATTAGTTACATCTCAATAATGTCATAATAAATTCTCTACTTTGAACACATATATATTTACATTTTCTTTATTTTTATATTCTGTGCATTCTCGTATCTCCAAATTTCGCATAAAGACGTAAAAATCCGCAATCTAATCGTTACATATTTAACGTTTTAGATATTTAGAAATTTCGTTTTAGATATTTAAGAAATTTATTAAACGATAATCGAGACTAAACAATGAAACATCTTTGGGTCTCGACTTGATGCCACGAATGAAAGTTTGATCAACTAAACACAAATTTTATTGTTTCTCAGGTCGTCTTAAATCTACTTCAATACGTTGGAAACACAACATGGCAGAGACTCAAATGCAAAATTTGCGAATACGATCGATTTCTATAAACGATCACAAGCAGGATACAACTGTTGTTTGATTATCGATCGCATAACGAACGAATTTTCTTTGTAAATAAAAAAATCTTATCATATTTGTAAATATCATAATAAATATTAATTTATTACAAGCTTGTCTCTGATTTTGTAAATGTTACCTATGCAATATTTTACTTTAAAACATTTCTATAAAAAAAGAAAAATTGTGCAATGAAAAAGCATAGCATATAAAATCGTGCAACATTTTTTTATTGTTTTTACTTAAAACAAGATTGTAATTCACTTTTTAATTAATTAACTTATCCTTTCACGAAATAATTATTGAAACAAGTTTTCACGATTTTTACTCGAATAAAAACTCCAACGCATTTATTAATTCTAATTGTTAAATTTTGGTAGAAAGTTTTTATCATAATTATGCATTCTTTTATAAATGTAGTCTAATTATAAATTCCAAATGTTCATTACGAATTGAATAATTAAGTAAATAAATTATTAAATAATGTATAATAAATTATCAAATAATAAATAAATTAAATAAATAATTATGTAGTTATGAAAATATTATTCAAGGTTATTTTGAAATAAAATCGCATGAATTACAATTACTGTAATTTTTTTATTAGTTTATATGACAATATAAGTATAAATATTAATTCGTCAATAGAAAATGATACAGCAACATTTCAATTATTATGCGGAAAGTATACAGCTCTTTATGTACATTAATCAATTACATTACAGTCATTACATTTAAAAATACGCATTGTCTAATATATTACATATGTATAGTTGTGAAATACAACGAGATAAAAAGTTAAATACACAGTTGAAGAGAACGTATAAAGAACACAATAACGGCAGTGATACGAAAGGTTTTTTTTTTATCATAATTTAACATTGAATACAATGGCTATACTAATCTGCTAATGATTCGCAAGAGGTAATAATCACATTCAAAATCTTATTTATTTTACAATTTCATTTTACAAAAATACTTAACCAGTTTTGTTGCAGCAAAGTAAATTTTTTTATTCTTAATTATACTCTGAACAAACGGTTTAAGGAAGTAAGGATAACACACGTACTTTCATTTACGAAATATCGATTCTTATATCACTATGTTTCTTTTTTTCTTTTTTTCGAAAATTTAGCACTGCAACAGTATTATAGTGAATTATACGAAACTGTCTTTAATTTGAGAAAAATTAATTATAAAAGTTTATAGCGAGAGATAAAATAATCTAGCGTAGCATAATAACAATACGGTATAATATAAAAATTATTGCAATTGGACGATGTGTTCTGGATGTAATGGCATGATTAGCTAATATTTTAAAATTGGTTATCAAGGAATCGTTACCACGAGACAATCAATGAATAATTAAATAGCAAACATATACGTTAAATATATATGTATTAACATTTTCTCAATACGATACATTTTACATTAATAGCACAAATTTCTCTATTATTGTTAATTATTACCTAACATCTCTTAAGTTCGTGGACATTTGTAAAATTGACGCTAAATTTTGCAACTTTTCGACGAATGTTATTTTATCAGATATTCATTTACTTTAATGACGTAAGATGGTTATATTCACAAGAGTTAAAAATTAACGTGCGTCGTCATATACGAGAAATAGTTCAGAAACGAAACTATTAAAATAATTTAATATCTTCATTTTTGTTTAATAAAATTGATTACAAGCTAGATATTCATAAATTGTTTATATCTAACAAGAGTTTGTTCTATTTTTCCTTTCCTTTTCTTTCTAATTGTGAAGTTTTAATAGATTAGAAACAGACGCTCCATGAAAAAAATGTAAAAATATGTTTAATAAAAAAAATTCGACAAATTAAATCATGATTAGATTTCTGGTTATGACAAAATTAGCAGGATAAACGAAATTATATATTGAAATTGAAATAAATAATTTTAAAATAAGGACAATTATATATTTATGCATATGTTATCTTTTATACATACATAGTTAAAGTAAATACTTGTCCAATTGAACACCATGCGTAACAATCATACTCAATTTAATGAAAACGAACGTAAATTGAAGTTACAATGAATTCCTTATTTACTCTGCATATTACGTATCCTCCTTAAAATATTCAAATGTAGAAAAAAGTTAGTTTTATTGAAATAAACTAACATAAACGAACTATTGTAATTGAAACGATAGAAACGATAGAGTTATTGGGTATAAAATATTATTTACATTGTAATAGAATATCTGGACGTTGTTTCAGGCAAGAGAAAATTATTTGACCGGAGGCAATCAAATATAAACAAAACTTTACACCGGTAGATTTTATTTGAACGCTTGAATTTGAAGTACAAAATTATTTTCATTTGAAATGAAACGTTTAACAATTCCTTTTCAGATTTCTAACTCAATTACTTGTTTCACAGCTTGACAATTTTTATATATATACATTCGTATGACAGTTTGACAGAGTCATTTATTTTACACTTTTCATTTCAGTATCTAGAGAGATGCAATTTCATTAGAGTGCTTCTGTACAATGAGTGGAAAGATATTCATTCTTTTGTGAAAATAAATAAATAAAATTTGACGAATGAAAAGATACCGTGAAGCTCAATATGATAATTTATAATCAATTGATATACTCGATATATAGATATAGTGAAAAGCGTAACTGAATTAATAACGAGGAAACACTGCCGATAATTTGGATTATTAGAAATTCGTAACGAAATATCACATAACAATTTACTTGGTTTCACTTTTTGAAACGTAAAATCCCCATCTTTAGTCTTTTTCTTGAAATACTTTTTTTCTTGAAAATTGTATAAGTTCAAACGTTTGTGGAAATGTTAGAAAATTTTTTTCATGACCTTGAAGATTGAAATTTCCTTTTTACAACGATTTCTGAAAACTTGTTGTACGATTTCTTTTTCATCATTTTATTGAGGTGTGGATATTAGCGTTGAACGAATGAAAATTCGAGAAATCCTAACATTTCATTGGATCTTAATATTTGAAATAAAAAAATAACAGAAATTTAAAATAATATTTAGCAGAAACAGAATATTTAAAATAATAAAATAACAGAAAACAATTGCAGAGCAAATTTTCAGAAGTCGTAACTTCAATCTTCTAGATCATGGTAGATTTTTTTCAGTGTCTTTACAAACGTTTGAATTTTTACAATAATTTTGAAAATAAGTACCCTCATTTTTCCACTTGCCACACGATATTAAAATATCATTTGAAGAAAACGAACTCGAGACTGTGAAAAATAGAAGTTTCAAGCTTTGAAAAGCGATCAAGTGGATTGTTACTTGAGTTTTTCTTACGAAGTTATACTCTTCACTGTAAATATAATAAAACTCGATAAAATTGTCATATTTTCTTCATATTCGTTAATTTGAAAACAAATTAACTACAAGTAACATTTATCGTTGATTAATAATTTACGTTTGAGAAAATAATGTACTTTCTTTCAATAATTTTTAGTTACACTTATAGATTTACATTTACAAGTCCTTTAACCTTGGATAATAATAATAACCTGTATCTGTAATGTAGGATTCGTATCTACAAGCTAATAATAATTGTTTATAACTTTATAACTGTTACATGCATAGTGTATTGTTTAAAGAAATGCATTTTTCATACATTACGAATGGGACGAAATGTTGTATTTAAAAAGTAATTTATTATTTAATATCTATCTAATGAAAAGAATTCGTGGTGTTGAAATTAACTACGTTGTACAACAATTTCATGTATGGGCTTCCGGCAAGAAATAATGAAGTTTCAAATATATTTATACTGTTTATATTATAGCAAAATTAGATACTGTTGACGAAACGTAAATTTTAGTGTCTTTTCTTTCAAATTACCCTACTTGACGAAAAATACAATTATTTATAATATAATTCGATTTTATGAGGGTGAAGAAAAAAAAAAAAGAAGTCTGAACGACTGATTAAAGAAAATGATATGAAATTTTTATATCTATGTAATCCTAAAGGATATCACCTAAATTTACGACTGAAATTTGATTCAATATTTGGCACGATAATTTGTTTGATCCAATGAATAATCACGTTTGTATATATATGTACACAAATATTTTACGTTCCCAAAATTATGAATTATGAACAAGAACGATTAATTTTCACTTTACCAGTATAGAATTCCACAGTCATACAGTTTTTCACATCTTATTCGTATTGGTCAAGCAGTCAGCTATTTCTTTATCGTTAAATATATATTTACATGATTTTCACGAACATTCGTCTTTCACTCGTTCAAGGCAATGGTTGTGAAACAGAAAAACCGTATGGAAAAATTTACTTCTTGTGGTCCGTCATAATAACGCATGAAAGAATATAAATATAAATCGTGAGTGAAGAATTATCTTGGAAGTTGAGGGAAAGGAAATAATAATTTGTGAAAACGATATGATCAAATTCAGGAATTGTAAGTTAATAATTTCTGACGTCTGCAAATCATATATATGTATATAACTATTTTATTTTTAACTATTATATTTTTATTTTATTTTAATTTCAGTTAGAGGAACTAACTTAAATAGTTAAAAATAAAATAGTTAAAAAATAAAATATAATGGATAAAAATAAAATAGTTAAAAATAAAAATATAGGAGTTAAAAATAAAATAATTAAAAATAAAAATATAGGAGTTGAAAATAAAATAGTTAAAAATAAAACTAGAATAGTTAAAAATAAAAATATAGGAGTTAAAAATAAAAATATAATAGTTAAAAATAAAATAGTAAAAATAAAAATATAATAGATAAAAATATAATAGTTAAAAATAAAAATAAAATAGTTGAAAATAGGGAGCTAACTTAAATAATTAAAACATAAAAAGAAAAGGGAGCTAACTTAAATAATTAAAACATAAAATAACAGTAAAAAAAAATTTATAAACAAAAACTATTTCAAGTGTACATGTGAAACAAGTGTACGTGATTTCTCAGTTAAACAAAGCTACACAATTACTTTCATTATCAACGACATGAATGTACTTTCATTTTGAAATCCTACATGACACACGATAATAATAAATCGTGTAAA